GGGGGTGGGGGTGGGGAATCTTCTGATCAATCTAAATTTCCCCCCCAAACTTTCCTTTGAAGAGAAATCAGATTTTTATTGAGAATTGAAAAAGACATTTTGCAAACTCAAATTCCTTCACAACACAGAATTTCTCTTACTAACATGGTTTGTCATGACCTGTTAATTATGGTATTTGTGTGTATAATTTTAAACTGAGATAAATATGCAAAATGATAACAATGCATAGTTTACAAAGAGAAGTACATGCAGAGGTGATCAAATGTATTATTCATTTACTGTGAGTCAAAGAATCCCTGTTCTGGTTTTGAAAAGAAAATGTACATATCCTCCTACTCTGGGATTTGCCTTTACTGGTATCTTAAATGCTACAAATCAACCATGTCTTCAGGCATTCCCCTAGGTCTCTCCTCAGGGTCTTTACTGCTTCCTGACTCAGTGTGACTTTGCAGCTTCTTTTATGTTTTCTGTTAAATGTGGTGGAAAATTTATTCTGAGTTACAAATAAAAAATACTTTTACATCTTTAACTATTATTCCAGTCTCTGATAGCCCAATGATTCAACACTAAAATTCTCGCTATCCCTGTGAAGGCATCCTGAACATACATATGTATAAGGCTTCTCCACAATGAAATAGTTTAATATTAAAATATGTTACATTAAAAAATTGTGGTTTCTCAAATATTGCTTTAAAATAATTGCAAACAAAGTTGCAAGAAGCAAGTATGATGGTGAATATGACCATTAAGATCATATTCACCAAGTGAAATAAATACTTCAGGACGCTGGAATACTCATTAAGTTTGGGAAGTTTGTTCTTTTTCCTCCAGTTTCTTGCCTAAAATGCCAATACGCATAGATACTGGTATGTAAAATACTGCACATATTCAAATGGCTTTTGAATATGAATTTTCACAGTTTTTCTATCTTGACTACTCAGTTTTTCCTTGAAGATTGGTTTACAGTAAAATTGAAATCTAAATTCTGACTCTGCACTGCTATTATACATTGCTATACATTGCTCTCATACATTGCTATTAAATTTGCTGTTCCACAGGGACTTTATTAGGGCTGCTACTGAACTGTGCATCATTTTAATTCGAATTAACACTTTCATCTTGTTTATGAATATATGTAAAATAAGCTTTGAAATATTTAACATCTGGGAATACCAACAAGCTGTCACAGCAAAATTAAGACATTTCACATACGTAAGTATTATTATATAATAGCCAGATACCAAATAACTAAACATTCATTGTTAGCATTTGGAGTATAATCTCTTTATGCATACTTTTCCATGTCCTTTGGGAATTTATTCATGCTTTGATCATTATCCCTTTGAAGCAACGCTCCTTTAAAGAGAGACATTTCAAGTGCAGTCCTCAACTCTGTTAGATGTCTCACTGGTAGGTACAAGACCTATTTTACATAATTTATTCTACCGTTAGCAGACATATTCTTAGAACAGCACAAGTGGGTTGGTTCCCAAGGATCACCTTCCTTTGCAAGGTATTTACTTTGCAGGATGGAAAGATTCATAGAAATTACTGTTCAAAAGACCACCATCACCAGGTCAGACACCTCTGGTGAAGTCAAGATTCTTCCCTGCAGAATATTCTCCTGTGGTTTGATGGGACTCCTAAAACTAAATTAACGGGTGGGAGGGCAGGGAAAGCCAAACCAAAACAAAAAAACCCCAGAACACACAAAACCCTTCAAGAAACAGACTCCCAGCACATCAACTAAATCACTATGGGACTGCATTTAGGAGATGTGTCAGACAGTACGTAAGTCTTCGTTAATTTAGCCTTTTAGAGCTACTTCAGTCACAAAAACCTATGTATTGCCACTTGGATTATGACAACTCTTAAACGTGACGGACACATGCCAGGTGAGGTCCGGGTGACAGGTGACAGTCTGGAGATCAGGTCTGAGGCAGACTCTCCACGAGCTGCTGGTGAGGAACCGCAGGGAGCAGTGACCGGCTGCTGGTGCCGCGGAGACGGAGCTTCGGAAGGGGCGAGACGTGGGAGACCACGAGCAGCAGAACGGCTCCTGCGAGAGGGGCCGTGGGGGCTGCTCCAGTGGAGGCCTGGGCTGGCTCCGCAGGTAACGCGGAGTACGAGAAAGAGCTGCCGCTTTTCACCGCGGCTGCAATGATGTCAAGATACATTCATTCAAATGGTGGTTAAGCAGCTGCTATGAATCATCAGCTGTAACGGCACTATTTAAAATCCCTATTATCACAAAATATCTACTGCATAAACCTGAAGGGAAAAGATAACATACAGCAACCAATAAGAATTAACTTTAGTTTCTATAGGCTATGTTTTCTTCCACACCCTTGCTGTAGGCACTAAACACCTTATAAACGCCTAAGTCCCTCTAAAACTCTACAGAACTATCCTGTACAGTTGAACGTCAATGTTCAGCAGAAGAGCATACCATCTGGATGTTGAAACATGAGGATTTGTGGATTACCTTTGGTAATAATAATTTTTTTAAAGTCCTACCAATATAATAGCCTAGTCTTCTCATTCTGAGAAGTCAAACAATTTTTACATTTAGAAAACATTTTTGTCTTAGAAGTATGTAAGAGGATAAAGAAACATGTGTACTCCTCAAGCAACAAGAAACGAATTATTCCCCTTTTACAAACTCAACTTCTTGGCACACTATTAATAGTACAGAACATTAAAGGACTAATTTTTTTTTTTTTTTTTTTTTTTTTAACATAAGAGCAAGCGGAAAATAAGGCATGACTAGGAGAAAAAGGTTGTAACAAAATTACATACAGAGGGAAACACAAACAACATGTGGAAAATTGCAGAGAAATGCACTCAATCAAATGCAATCTTTTTGCCTGAAAGTGCCTTAGAGACGCTTATCCACTGCTTAGAGCAGGCTGATAGAAAAGAAATGGAACATAAATACATTCCGACTTTCTGAAAATTTTAGTCTAAACAACCAGAGAATCCTGTTCAACAGGCATACTGAAAATGTGGTTTGCGCACACAAAGGATATTCATTGTATTCAGTTCGACTCTCTTCAAATCCTACAGTCAAGTTTAACCACTGATCACATGCAGACTATCTCTTCTGTCCTATTTATTTTTGGAAGTATTTATCTTTTAATCAACAAAACACTGAAAATCTTAACAGAAAACTATCTGCCAGTGACCTACCTAAAAGGAGAATGAAAGAAAGACCTTTGGGATATACAAGTAAACTTGTCACCAGAATCTTCCAAACATTTCCCAGCAAATGAGCTCTTCGGATACAATTCACTTTTTATACATCAAAATAAAATTATGAACCATAAGTTTTAGGGATTTTCTGTCTTCAGGTCATGTTTTGGGCTTTTTGTTTGTTTTAAATGTTTGTGATATTGCATAGAACGGTACAAAATACTTTGTGTGTGTCTTTTGAATACTTAAACAAGATTATTTGAAGAAATCTAAATTATGAGAGCTGAGATAGACATGAAGATTTGAGAGACAAACTAAAATATTTACACAAACACCAGCAAGATTGACGCTGAGAGAGCAGTAAGACCAAAAGAGCACATCATAACTTGTTCAGAGTACGCAGATATGGGAAGTGAGATGCCTAGCAAGCAGAAATATTCTATAAAGTAGATAAGTAATAATAATAATAAAGCCAAAGAGCAGTAAAACAAGTACTAGCAACAGCACCTTTGTGAGATTATCACAGATATGCCAGAGCAGGGGCAGATGTTTAAAAAAAAGTAAAACAGCATCTCTGAACTGCGTCAGATGTTCAGTTGCATTTCCTTTTTTCTATTACCACCAGGTGCCACGTGAAGTGGTTCTGCAAGTGAGTACTTGATGCTGCCTGCCCAGCACAGCTCTTCCAGCTCCCCGTAAAAGATGTAAAAGCACTAATGACACCAAAGCACTATGGCACTACAGACCCAAAAGAATCAGTTTCCTTTTCAGAATTTGGCATCTAAAAGTAATCCAGCAGCTGACCTTTTGAAGTTTCAATTACTGACCCTCTCTTCTTGCCAAGAGACCTGCAACGGCCTTCAAACAGCACTGCAGCTCAAAAGGCATCCATCTTCATCATTTCTCTTGAAAGCTGCAGGCTCAGCACTGTAAGTCGCAGCAGAGAACTGACCACCATTTGCAACTCCATCAAGCTGAAGGCGTTGAGCATTCCCCACACAACAGAGGCCAGGGAGCAACACGCAGCCCTCGCTCTCTGACCCTGCAGCAGCTCCGGGACACGTGGCACTTGAGCAGCGGTGTGAGCCCACACGCTGCCAGGGATCTGGGTGTGCTCAGAGAGGAGCTGTGATCGCAGTCCAACTTCTGCCTCCTCAAGAAGTACCGTGGTGCGAACCCTGATCTAAACTACTCAGGACAGAGAAATCTCTGTAACTGGCACCTCAACTTCCATGGGAGTTTTCCTTGCTCTCCCTTTTCTCTTATGCAAAAGTGTCAGTCACAAATCTTGCAGTTAATAGTATTGCATTTGCCAGCCAATTTTTTTTTTTTTTTTTTTTCATTTGGCAAGAGCTTAAGCTCGTGCATAGCCTCCGAACTGCTTTGCTCAAAATGATGCCTCTAACATGACACAAAATTTGGAGGGGGGGTGGGGTGGGGTGTGTGATTTCTGAGAAACTTTTAAATACTATTGTCCTTGAAACCTAAGTTAGTCCATGACATAGAATGACTTTATGTCAATCTCGCTGTGTAAAATGACTGCTTTCGATATTGTACTCAACCTTAAGTTCTAGGAAGAAAAGGATAAGTCAGTTGGCTAAAGCAAATCTCATCTCACTTGATTCTTACTGAGTGTTACAAAAAGCAAATACAGTTCAAGTTTTCAAAGACTCATACACGTTCTTTTGTATTCAAGACAAACTTTGTCAGAAATGTCTTTGTGCAGTTACTTCACTCCTGCTTGCAACTCCCAGGCTACACCACGCAAGAGGAAACCCTTTATTGATTGCTTTTGAAATTACATTTCTCAGCATAAATGCTTTAATAATTGACTGAATAAAATGATGGGTAACCTCTATGGGAACAGTTCCACTACAGAATGTGTTTTATAGTTTATTTGTGCATGTGTTACTCATTAATAACCTGCCTCAGAGGAAGTACAGGTGATTATCTTCAGATTCTGGATCTCAACTTTATGAGTTCTCATAGGGACATCATCTATATCATAATAACAATATTCTAAAGTGTTTCCATTTTTTCAAACTATAAATTTAAGCACTTGTGCTCAGCAGCAGCATGAGAAAAATCAAATTAATTTCTAAATTCCAAAAATTTGAGCCAGAATTCTCTCTGAACATTATAAGAATTCATATCTACATAAAGTGTTAAGATTTAAGTGAAATTTCTTATCATTATTAAAAAAATCCACAACCTACTGTAGTGTAAAAACTTGGAAACTTTCACTGAACACCCTGACTACATCTTTTTCTCAGCTTATATTTATTTTTGTTATTCAGGGCTCCACCACAAAAAGTCAATTACGAACAAACATTCTAGAAACTGAACTTCCACAAAGACAAATATAACAAACCCTTATTAAGCCAGAACTGTTACTTCACTGCAACATATGCCCATGGAAGTCCCCAAGATGTGATTTTTACATAATTGTGCTGTACACACAGCCAAAGTGTTCCTTTGTCCAATTAGTGGCAAAGTTTGTAAATCAGTTTCCTCGCAAAGTATTTCTCTTTCACAACCGTCAATGAATTTAATGCCTAACACAAGGCATTTTGTACTGAACAAATGTTATTAGGTCTTATAAATGAACCATTATGGTATTACTCTCTTCCATGTCCTTGTCACAAAAGACCTCTTCAGAGCTCATAAAGATATACATTTTTCAGCATATTGAGGAAACCTACATACTGAGGAGAATATACTCAACCACAACAAAACCCCATCACACTTCTCTTCCAGATTGAGGAAAGCCTCCTATGACTCTATCAAGATACAAGCAACCAATGCTGAACTTTTACATCCATTAAATACAGCAGGCCACAGTTTTCACTCAAGCAAAACTCGCCTACATTCAATATATTTGATTGTTGAAGCAGTTAAGGTTGATCATGTGTAAAGTGCAATGAACATTTTCCAAGTCAAATTAATCTGAAATGATTGAGCTCAGGCTTTAGCTACTGACTCCCAGAACAAGCAAAAAATTTATGTGGTAAGCAAGAAAAAGCTGTATTACCCAAGAACTGAGAGGCGCTGTTTCTGTTAGTCTCTCTAGGATGGGACATACGTTTTGAGGCCAAATCCCATCACAGCGAGGAACACTGGACAGTAACACAAGGTTAGTGCCTTCCTTTTTCACCTCTTGCCATACTATAGCATCCAACCTGTCAGTCTTTCTGTTATTCCCATTTTTACCAATACGAGAGGAACTTGCATGTTAACATGCATCTGTTTATTTCTGAAAAATAAACATTTTTGAATTTGTTAATACCAGATTTTCAAAAGTCTATTTTGGGACAGGCAAGCCAAATATAAGGCTTGACCAAGAATTCAATTGTGACTAGATTGTTATCGTTGGAAGACAGCGTCTTATCATAAACAGGGAAATCCATCCGCACACAGATTTACGAAAGATTTGTGAATGAGACCTACAGACTCTGTCCTTGTTTCCCACTCTGCCACCTCGGCGACTCACACACGCAGAACAGCACAAGAACCCCTCGCAAGCTCCCGGGCTATATGCATCAGCCCCTTCACACCTACAGCATGAGAGTCTGGGACCAAAACTGTCACTATCTCCTGTGTCACAATCCTAGGACACAGCCCCACTAACGGCCCTACAGCGGGGAGACGTGCCACACATGAGCCTAATGCACAGGGGGGAATGTGATGGGTTGACCCTGGCTGGACACCAGGTGCCCACCAAGCCGCTCTATCACTCCATTCCTCAGCTGGACAGGGGAGGAGAGAAAATATAATGAAAGTCACATGGGTCAAGATAAGGACAGGGAGAGATCACTCAGCAATTACTGTCACAGGCAAAACGGACTCAACTCAGGGAAATTATTTAATTTATTGCCAATCTAATTTATTGCCAATTAAATCAGAGTAGGATAATGAGAAATAAAACCAAATCTTAAAACACCTTCCCCCCACCCCTCCCTTCTT